ATGTACTCTATGTGATCATTTGGGGGAGGGTAACAAAAGGGAGAGTTGAAATCCTCGTATTTGCTTGTGCGTACACTAAACTCTGAAAGAATAAATAAGAAACTAAGACAATAATGAAATAGTTACCTGTGTGGTGATGGTGATGAGGGGGTAGGTTTGGGAATTGGTGAAAGGGAAAAATTGGTGACAGAGAAAGGGATAAGCGGGAGATTTTGCAATGTCTGTCTTTTACTATTTTTAGGTTTTTGAATAATATACATGTTGTTTCTATTCCATGCATATATTGTTATAATGGAAAAGCAGCCAATTCCTCAGTTCCAGTCAATTGCTACCTTCTGGGGGGCTATGGGTCTAATATTGTTGGTTCTTCTAGATTTGCAAGGGAAATTGGAAATCCACTTTTTTAAATCCCAGTTTTAAGTTTTATATTGTTCATTGCTAATAAATAGAAATATAGTTGAGCTTTGCAACATGTCTTTAAGAGCTTATTTTTCAGGGAGCCATTGTGCCTCTCTGTGAAGGCAATGACATCACTTGTGCATAGAAACAATGAAACTCTTTCCGATGTACTTTTCTTTTTCTTACCTTATTGCACTAGCTACAACTTCCAGTATGATGCTGAATAGGAGTTGTGAGAGCAGATATCCTTGCCTGATACAAATCTTACAGGGAAACCATCCAGTCTTTCATCATTAAATGTAACATAAACTGTAGATTATTTATAGATGCTCTTTATCAGGTTAATGAAATTCTCTTTCTGTTCCTAATTTGATAGGTTTTTATGGATGTAGAATTTTGTCAAATACTTATTTCTGCACCTATGAGATAATCACATGGATTTTCTCTTTCATTTTGGTTACCATGGAGAATCATACTGAATGATTTTCAAATGTTTAACCAGCCTTGCATTCCAGGATAAACCCAAGCTAGTCGGGATATATTCTCATATATTACTGGTTTTGAGGGATTTGTGTCTATGCTCACGAGAAATATTAATCTATAATTTTCTTGGCTTTGACATTAAGGTAAATCTGATATAAAATGAATTAGGAATGTTCCCTTAACTTTCCTAATTTTCAAATGATAAAAAATGACTTACAAGAGTGCTAACTGTGTGCTAGGCACTGTGTTAAGTGCTGACTCATTTTTCCTCACCGAAGCCCTGTGACTATGTAGAGCATTATTATCACCATCACTTTACAGATGGGGAAAACTGAGGCACAGAGAAATTGAAGTCACTTGCCTAAGCTCACACAGCTTATAGAGATTAAAGCCAGGACTCCAACCCTACTACCTGCCAGGCTCCAGAGTCCTCATTTTCATCTTGCATCAACCTTCAGAGGCAGGGATTATCCTCACTTGGCAGTTGTGTGCTGTGTGGCAAGCAGTCTCAGGCTATCATCTTCCTTAACTTCCATGGTGCCTTTTGGAAGGGAATTTTAAAAAATATCTTCCAAATCTCAGTTTAATTTTACACTGCTCCTTTCTTACCAGGCAGGCTCACCCTGCCTCCATCCTGTTTTCATCTCCCAAGCATCAAGGCTCATCTTTTCCTCCCACACTACCTTCTGCTTTGCACTGTCTTGTCCCAACTGGCCCAATCAGTGTCCCCAACTCTGCTGCAAAGTTAGAAACAAGTTTTGAAAATGTAGAAACATCTTACATGCTTCAAAGGAGGTGGAAAGAGATGGGGTATTAGGAACAGCTGGGACACCAATTTTCTCCACTGAGCACAGAGCATAAAAGACTGAGGCTAGTTAAGAGAACTTGCCGTGGTAAAGGGGACAGTGTGTGTAGTGCACAGAACAGGTGTCTGCATGCTGGTTAGGCTGTGTGACTGTAAAAGGCAAAAGGTTTATGCACTCTTAAGAGAAACCAGAGTATTGGGCTGTGTGACTGCAGACAAGATGTTCCACCTTTCTGAATTTCAGTTTGCTCATCTGTCAAAGGGGTTCAGAGACATGTACTCGTCACAGGGAATCATGGGGAATGAATACAGAAGCTTGGGTGGGAGGAGGCACTGAGTACGGAGTGCTTTCCTCAGCCCAGGTACTATGCAAAGCCACGTCTACATAGATGATAGTATATAATATATACCACCCCTGTGGGCAGTAGGTACTACGGCTACCCCATTTTTACTGAAGGGCAAGATGATACAGAGATGGTGAGGATTCTCCCATGCAGAGCTATACCTGTACTTCACACCAGAGCCCCTGGGTCCCACTCCTGATGGCTTAACTTAGACTGGGGCGATTCCTAGAGGCAGGGGTGGGACCACACGGCCTTTCTCAAGCTCTTCCTCAGTCCAGAGACAGAAGGTGTTAAGAAACCTCTCCCTACTCATTAACAAACACTCAGCCACTCCCCATCCAGCCTCAGGCCTTAGACCACCCAGGCCTCAGACCACTGAGGTGAGAATTTGGAACTGGGGTGAGTCCACTGCCAGGAAAAGTGATTCAATTAAAATCTCAGTTTTCAACAATAATCCTGAGCCCTGCGGTCTGTTCCTTCACACCCAGCCTAGCTGCACCTCCCAGCCAGTGGCTGGGTAATGAAGGTTTGCTAATTGCTGGGGGCTAGGGGAGGGCGGGAGAGACTGGAGTGAGCTCCGGGAGAGGAACAGCCGCACAGAGTCCAGTGCTTTCTCTGTGAGTCTCCCAGCCCCTCCTCGGGTTCACTGGCAGGCAGAGCAGGCCCCTCCTCGCACAACCAAGGCAGCTGGTGAGAAGCAGGATGGCAGAGCCTGGCAGCCGTCAGTGGGTGGGTCAGGCATGGGGCTGCTTCTTGCCCCTGCACCGTCACATCCATCTACACTGTTACTTCTTAAAACTCCAGGGAGTAGATAGTTGCATAATGCCTGTTGTACAGCTGTGGAGACTGAGGCACAGTGACACTAAGGGGCCATAAAATAACACCCAGCTCTGCCTCTCCTTAGCCACCGGAACTGTCTTGCTCGTCTTTACGATTTTAAGGGGATGGTTCACATCTTTCACCTTTGAATCACCTTGCAAGCCATTAACGAAAGCCCTTGACCTTCACACCAATCATTCTTCTCTAGAATCCTTAGTCCTTCTCTATCCATTGCTGCCTCTCAAATCATAAGCTTGTATGAGCTTCTTGAACACAGGGACTGTACTTGGCATTGCCTCGGCACTTGACACACAGTAGGTGCTTGTAAGTCCTGGTTGAGTGTATGAACCCATCAATACCCTCCGAGTTCTAATCCCAGTCCCTCTCTCTTCTAAGTCCCCAAGTCCTAGGCTCAGCCTTGAAGAGCCTGTCAAATGCCAGGTATACAGTAGGTGCCAATGCTGTGTCTCTGGAAGACCCTCATTACCATAGGAATTAGACTGTGAAGGTGAGAACCTTGAGGTGTTGCAAGGTCTGCGCTTTCCCTTGTATTCCCCATCCTCAGGTCCCCTCCTCTGGACCCCGGGAGCATCAGCCTCCCCAGTCTTTATGTCTCTGTCCCTTAAGGGGACAGGAGGGGGGCTAGCCCACTGTGAGGGCTGAAGGGGACAGGGGGCCTGTCGCTTCTCTGGTTCACCAAGTGTCACCAATAACCAACCTCAAAAACACTGCCCAAAAGAGTTCTGGGAGAGGTTCAGGGGTTGGGGGGGGGGGAGGCGGGAAGTGGATGGAAATCAATGCCAGTTGGAGGTGATTACAGGACAGGTGCTGCCACCCCAGCGGGTGAATCAGCGGCTGAGTGTCCCTCCCAGGGCAACCAGCGGGACCGGTTAATGAGAAAAGCCTCATCACTTGCTGGTATAAGGGTGGGGGGGGGGGAGCTCAATGTTAGTAAACTTTTGCTTCCTCTGCCTGATAAATCTGGGGAGGGGCAGTTGATTTAAACTACCTCACCGGGGTCCTGGCTGCCAGCTGGGATGTTTCAGAAAGGAAATTTCAGCAGCGTTCTCAGAAACCCAGCGCCCAAGTCCCCAGATTCTGGGATGCTGAGTGGATGGGGTGGAGGAAGCTGAGATCCTGGCTGTACACTGTTTCCCCGTCTGCTCCCTTTCTCCAGCTCCCATCTGCCGGAGTGGTCTTCAGGAGGCTTTCTGCCAGAGCTGCCTCAGCGACTCTCTGGAAGAAGGGTCCATCTGGAGCTGGAACCCCAGGGCACCCCTCCCTCTGTAGCACAAGACAGCCCCTCCCCTGCACCCTCACCAGCAGCTCAGCTCTCTTGAGGAATTCGGCACAAGTCTCGGTGACACTTTGGAGAGGTGGAACCAGCCAGACATCTGCAGCAGCAGGAGCTGCCCGGGGTGGGTGGAAGGAGGCAAAGCTAGGGGGTGAGGGAAGTCCTCAAGGAGACCGGACCCCTGAGGTGGCGTCTCTGCAGCTGCTCTGCGTGCCTCTGTGCTCTCCCTGGGGTCAAGGCAGGGGACAGTCGCCCCCACTCTCCCTAGCGGGACTGGAGGTCCCTGTTCCATCCCAGACCCCTTCGCCAGGACCCCCCACCCTACCCGCGCCCCAGCAAGACAGTGCCCAGCATCAGGGTCTACCACTTCATCTCTGACTAGGAGGGGACACGCAGCCGGGCATCAGTGGCCCCAGACCGGGGTGGGGGGCACCGGAAAAGCGAAGCCCCCTCCAGCCACCTGCCCAGAGCGCGCAGGGAAGTCACACACCAGCCCCGACTGGCCGCGGACGCCGACCCCGATCCTTTCAGACGGCCGCGCCACGCGCACCAGCACCCCGGGCCGCAAGCGCACACTCACGCCGCGCCCCTCGCCCGCCGCGCGCACCCCGGCCAAGCCGCACACGCACACGCGCACACACGCGCACACACGCGCGCACACGGGCAGCCCCGCCAGGCCGCCGCAACTTGCTTTCCCCCCGGCGGGGAAATGTCCGCAGTTGCCCTCCAGGCTTAAACTTTTTCCGAGGGGGGCACCAGGGATCGCGCCCCGGAGGCGGCTACGCCTGGGGGTTCTGGGCAGGGTCGCGCCGCACTTGGGGCTCCTGGCTTCCCTCCCGCGCCCCGAGCCCCTCACCTGGTAAACCGAGGCACAGCAGGAGGCTGTAGTAGACCACGGGCACGAAGCCCAAGCCGCAGGCCGCGCCGGGGGACCAGGACAGCGAGGTGTTGGCTGCGAGGTGGGCGTGCGTGTGCTCCATGGGCGCGCCCCTAGCTCCCCTGGCCCGCGCCGGGCCTGCCCGCCCCGCGCTGGACGCCGGCTCGGAGGCGGCGCGGCCGAGGCAGCGGCTGGAGCAGCGGCGTCTTCTCCGCGCCGGACTCGCCCCTGCCCTGCGCCGGGGTCCTCGGCTCCCTCCGCACCAGCCCGCGCGGGGTCCGGCTCTGCCCGCCCGCAGGGCGCGCGGCGCAGGGCGCGGGGACTCGGGAGCGGCTCCCGGAGCCCGTGTGTGCGCCTCCCACCTCGGACCCGCTCGGCTCCCGCCTCGGAGCCGGGGGGCTGGGACGCCGCTCCCCGCAGCCAATCAGCAGCTGCCGGGGCGCGGGCGCGGTGGGGTGGGGGCCGTGTTCTAGGGGAGGGGGCCCTGCGGCCTCTCGGGGCTCCAGTTTTGGAGAGGAGACGGAGTTAGCCCCGGGAAGCCGCGCGCCAGACCCGGGGGGGCCAGGCCGCGCCGTCGGCGCCCCCCGCGAGAGGGCGGGGAGCGGGTGGGTCGGCGCCTCCCGCCGCGGGCTCCCTGCGCCTCCGGCTGTCCTCAGTTTGCCTTTCCCCGCTCTCCCTCCAGCCACCTCTCCCCCTCGCTCGCGCTTCGAGCCCATCTCCATCTAGAGGATTCTCCACTCGGGGCCGGGGGCAGGGGCGGCTGGTGGAAGGGGGTGCTGAAGGGTTGTGGTGCTCCCGGCCCGGGAGCGCAGCTGGCCGGCCCCGAGCCTGGCGTGCGTGTCCTGGGCGCGCGCTGCCCGGGAGGCGAGCGGTGGGTGGGCCGCCCCAGCCTTTGAGGGGGTGCGGGCTGGCTCCCGGGAGGCGGCCACAGCAGCCCTTCTGCGCGACAAGGCTGTTGCGGCCACTCAGACGCACAGACTCAGCCCCGCGCACACAAAGACACAATAGCTGTCACGAGGATGCACTCGCACCCTGACGCGGGCAGAGGGGGTCCCCCCACCCCACACCCACCCAGACACGCGAAAATTCAGGGCATCCTCACGGTGCCCCCGACACACTCACATGACACTCCAGACACACCCACAAAAACACGTGGGAGTCCTCGGGAGGTGGTCTGGCTTTTGAAGGTTGTGTGAAGGATAGGTAAGGAAAAGCAGGTGGCATCTGGGCAAGCTTGGAGAGTTGGGGGGAATGAACATCACCCCCCAGCCCACCCTAACACCCACTACTGGAGAGAAGGAACTGGCTGGGCTTTCTCTAGCCTCTTCCAGGACTATCCACATGGAGAGGGGTCCAGACCTCTGTGCACAATAAAGGGCAGTGTGTCCAGTCCCCATTATCATTAGGGGCTCCCCCAGGTAGGGATTAAGTGAGGGACAGGACAAACTCCAACACCTTCCGGGTCAGCCAGGGGCATCTGCCAGGCCTGGCTGGCTGGGTCTGTAGTCAACTGGGAGGCACGTGTCCCCTCAAAGGGACAGACTATGACAGAGTCACAGGGACCCCGGGAGGCGGGGTCTCATAGCTCAAGCCAAGCTAGATCCTGAAATGTTGCCGCGAACACTCTCATTTAAATGTGACTACCCCAAACTAAGCAACCTCCCTGCCTCGAGCATAAAGCTTTGTAGCAGTTCAATAATTATTTGAAACCTATTGATTGGATTTGTTTACAGGCAACTAAACTGACTGGCGCAGTGGGGCTGGAGGGGGGAGTGTGTGCAATAGGACAAGGCTTCCTCCTTTGTGACTCATGGGTAATGCCTCAGGGCCTTTGCACTGACTCGTCTCTCTGCCTGCGGGGACCTTCTCCAGAAAGCTGCAAGAACCTACTTCTTCACTTTCTTCCAGTCTTTGCTCAAGCCTTCTCAAGGAACTTTCTCTATTTAGAATAGAAGTCCTCAACTCTCCCCTCCCAAATGCTCCCTGCTTACTTTCTTTGTTCCTCCCCTGCTTATTTTTTCTCCACAGCACTGAGCACCCCAGGCTTACCCTGTACACTTGAGTTAGTTTCTTGACTGTTCCCCTCTTAGAGGGCAGGGCCTCTGCTCTCTTTAGTTGACTGTTGCTTTGCAGCCTCCAACAGCTGCCTGGTGCAGACTCTCCATAAACATGCAAGAACGAAGGGCCCAGCACCCACTGGCCCAGGGCATGCAGGGCACGGGGAGACCTGTTAACCTTTACTTGTTTTTGTAGGCTAGAACGTGGAAGCCCTTAGGTTTGTGGGGGTTTTGGGGTGGGGGGAGCCTGCAATCTCAGGTTAGCATGTAATTATCATTTATGACTTGGCATTCTAAAACTCATCTGTGTGGTTTGGAGTCTAGAGTTTTAGTTAGAGATTCTTTATAAAAGTAGACACTTGGCTGGTCATTGGAACTGGGCTAATTGGGCAATCTCTCTGGACCTTATTGTTTCTGAGCCTCCATTTTCCCTTCTGTAAAACGGGCATGTAGGATCCCAGGCATGGCTTATTGCAGGGATGCTGAGCAGGGAGAGAGGGCATGGAGCAGTGGAGACTGGGTACATTGCAGTTCTGGAGGCTAAGAAATTGGAGTTTGCTGTCTCCATTGGGAACCTGGGAAGCTTGTCAAGGTCCAAGTTTCCTGGGAAATACATGGTTTGGATGTGAAAAACATCAAGGCTCTAGGCCAGGTGTTGAGTATTTTCGATCCTGGGGAGAGGGCAGGGTGACTTGCCAACAAAGTCTGTTTAATTTTGCTCCAGGGCTGGCCCCCTTCAGTGCATCTGTAAGACGTTGGCCTATTCAAGCCAGTCACTGTGATGGGCTCCTTTCATTCACTTAGTTATTATTTCAACAGATTTTTACTGGGCATCTAATATGTGTGGATCAGATCCAGCCACTTAATTGCAGAACCTGATGCAAAAATGAAAACGCAGAGCCCCTTGTTCAGCAGGGAAGACCAGAACAGAAAGAGCAGGCCACTAAACCGAACATGAACTCCTTCAAGGAGGAGGCGCCGTGTGACTGCAGAGCTCACACACCCACCAAACCCATTTCTTAGGGCACAGAACTGGACTAGAAGAGCTACCATCTATTGCAGGTTTATCTTGAGACCATTATGTTTTAATTCATTTTATCCTCCAGATGACACTGGAAGGAAGGCACAATTCTTCGTTCCATTTCACAGGTGAGAAAACCATGGCACAGGGAAGTTTAGTAATTTGTCCAAGGCCACTTGGCAGGGATTAGGTCCAAGGCCATGTCATTCCAGAATCTGGATGAGTGCTAGAGAGAAAAAGTGGAAGGAATAAGAATATGTGGACTGTCGAGTCCTGATGTGGCCTGACAATCAGGGAAGGCTGCTCTGAGGAAGCATCTTTGAACCTGAGATGAGATGTGAAGGATGAGCCCAAGGGATGTTGGACTGGGAGTGAGGTGAGCATCTCAGGGACAAGAGCAAGTGCAAAGGTCCTGGGGTAGAAGTGAGATGGACTCTGAGGAACTAGAAGACCAGGGAGACTGGGGTTCAGGGGAGGGGTGCCTGGAGCTGGATGCAGTTGGAGATTTGGAAGGGACTGTAGGCTGTGGTGAGGACTTTGGTCTTTAATCTTGGTCTTAAGCAGAAGAGTGCCAAGGTTTGATTTGCATTTTAAAACTTTTTCTTTGTCGGGAGGTGGAGGATTAATGGTAGGTTGCCAAGCATGGAGGTGGGAAGACAAGTTATGAGGCTGCCAAGTTGGACATGTGAGAAATGATAATATGCAGGTGGACTGGGGCGTGCTGATGACGGACTACATCGTAGACGCTTGGAGAGTGAGTGAGTGAGGAGAGGGAGTAGGGAAGGGAAGGGCAAGGCAGGAGAGGAGAGGAAGAAGGCAAGGGGAGGGGAGTACAGGAGAGCTAGGGAGGGAGAGACAAGGATCCATGGAGAGACAGAGACAAGAGACTGAGAGACAGACAGACAGACAGAGTGATAGGGAGAGAGGGTGCACACGGAGATTCCAGCTGATTGTTCTAGACAGGAGGGCTGGTGAGTAGAGTTTGGAGCACCCTAGGGGCCTGCTGCTGACCCACCCTGCCTGTCTCCTCACCTCCCATAAGCCTTTCCTACTCCCCACCCCCCACCCCTGCACCCCCCTGATGCAGCATGCCCTCCTGCACCGCATCATCACTTACCACATTGTGTTGCCGCTCAGGGTTGCCTGTTACCTGCCCTTCTGGGAGGCTGAGCACCTTGTGGGGAAGTTAAGTTTCCTTCTTCTGAGAATCCTCAATACGGGACCAAATGCAGGGTATTTAGTGAGTATTGAACCCCCACCTAGGTGTGAACCCCAGCTCAGCTTTTAGTAACTGTGTATTCATTGGCATTATTTTCATAGAAATTGATAGAAAAAAACCTCAAGCTAGCTTAAATTTTAAGAAGGAATGTATGTCTGTTTTAATTAAAAAGTATAGCGGTTTTCTGGCCTTCAGGCATGGCTGGATCCAGGAGCCGAAAAGTACCTGTCCCTTTCCACCCATGGGCTCTGCTTTACTTTACTAGTTGCTTTTTAAAGCAGGATCTTGTGACATAATAAAAACTGAACAACAACATCCCTGGATCTGTCTATCAGTTTGGTAACCTGAGCTGAAAGAGAACTCAGCAAAAATGCTAGGCAGCTGTTGAAGGACTCACCTGGTTTGAGATGGAGCTCAGTTGTGTTCACTGGTTTGAGCTGGATTTCTGTAATCAGCCAAAAAAAAAAAAATGTCAAGTGGTCAGTTGTGGCTCTCAGGTCTAGTGATGAGGCCAAGAGAAGCGGTCACTTCTTCCCAGACCTCAGGAACTGTGAGAGAACGTGGATGATTTGTCCTGAGAAAACTGGGATTCAAATGGGAATAGATGCTGGACAGGAAAACCAACACACTTCTGCAAGCTGAGTTCAGTCCATAAGCTGCCTGCTTGCTGTCCTCTCTAGGGCCAGTTCATATGTTTTATTTCATTTTCATTACTTATTTAATTTTTAAATATAGATTTTACTTTTTAGAGCAGTTTTGGGTTTATAGCACAATTGAGTGGAAGGTACAGAGATTGCCCCGCAACCCCTGCCCTCCCCCCACCTCCCTGTGCATAACCGCCCCCATTATCACCAGCCTCTACTGGAGTGGCTCATCAGCTCCAGTTTATGGAACTGACACATCGCTGTCACCCCAAGTCCATTGTTGACATTGGATTCATGGGGGAACTGACTGCATGTGTGTATGTGTTCATGTGTGTATATGTGCACATGTTTGTGTACATGGCTATGAGTGTGCATAGGCGTAGATGTATTTGTGCATGGTGGTGCACATTCTGTGAGTTTGGACAAAT